ACAAATGCTAGGTCACATATTTTGTCCTGCCTACCACATGACACCCGGGGAAGAGTAAAGGGARGACACGAGAATTTGAGCTTCCTTCTTCACCGCGCTGGGCTCTTTCCAGGTCAGGCTGTAATCTTGCTCTACCTGGTGTAGCCCTCAGCAGAGTTCTCCATTTGCTCTTTATTGTAATAGCAATAATTTACCGTTATAAGTTCAGAGAAAGGAAAAATACTGCCTTTTCTTTCTGGAGTTCCAGTATAACGACTTGTTTCCAAAGGGGTGGGAGTTGGATCCTTGTAAGCTGTTTGTTTTTGTACGATTTTGAATTTTACATTGATAATAGCAGTTTTGTGTGTGTCCATCAAAGCATATGGAGAAAAGGATGGTAGTTATGGAACAGAAGTTATAGATAAGTATAAAAAGATTTGAGCTGGAAATTATAGTTTGAGTAGGAATTTTCTTTAAGAACCATTGAGAAGAATAGTTGGCCACTACTGATGATGATATCAAGTTATTTATGATGTGTGTTTCATGATTTCCTGGCATTTGAAAAGTAGAACCTCCTGAGAAAATCAATRTTAATAGCAAACAATGGGTCTTAAAATTAAAAATGTTTTGATCTCTTTATTCACTGTCTGTTTAACAGTGGGGGGGGAAAAAAAAGTGAAATAGTCCTTTTCTGTTGTTTCCATAATGTCTTAAAGCATCTCCTAAACGAGATGAGAATTTAAATCAGAATTATCATCTAAATAATGTAGTTAATTCAACACAACTTAAAATATTATCTTTCTTTTTTTGGTTAGGATCTCCTTTTGTAAGGATATTCATTTACTTCAATGAATTAAGTTAATAAGGTTAATAGTTTAATGTTTCTCTGTTGATAACTGCTGTTTTTTCTATTACCTTTTTTTCAGTTTTTGATTATAAATTGGCTAACCCCTGGTGTATAATTCCAGAAATCATCTCTTCAATGTATCCAAAGCTATTTACTTAAACTCGTCTTTTATTATTCCCACTGCCACAGTCTAATTATTGTAGTGAAAGACTGAACACAGAATAGTTCGAGGCTTTGATCAGTCTTCATATAAATTTCAATAATGAGAGGAAGGTTTGAGGATTTCTGAGAGAATTCCCCCCAGACATATGCTGCTTTTCCAGAATGAGCTGCGTTTTGTGATGCCAAATGAGACCTCTGACAGGATTTGTGACTGGGTTTCTGCCATCTCTGGCAGCAAAAATCAGGCTTTCATAGCCATAAAGTTATTAATTGATCATAAATTCAATGTTGTTATATATTTATCAGAGAAACTATAGTACTTTTCCCTAATTTTTATCTTTATTTTCAGCTACCATTCTTATTCTACTATGAGCTTCCCTGAGGTTTTCATCCCACATCAGTGTTTTTGGAATCCACTCAGAATATATAGTGGCATTGCTTGCATTTTTCTCTTGCCTTTTAGGAAAAATACACTAACTTTCAGTCAAATAAATAAAACAAGCTGTAATCCTTGTTATTCTATTACTGTCGGTGTTAACTCTGTTTGGAGATAAATAGAAAAACAGCTGGAGTCTGAGGATATTTTGTAATCTTATAAATTGAAATTTAAATGCCTCAAGGAGGAAATTTCCAAAATAAATGTGACAGAAGATAAGTTCCAGCTTTTGGCAAAATTTTATTAGAATGGCTTGTTCCAGATCATTGTTTGATGTCTGCATGAATTAGGAAAATGGTAGCACTGTTCTGTGGAGAAATAACTGATTTTTTTTTCTTTTATCTTGATAAATTCTTCCAGAACTAAGTGCTTTGTCATCAGTATTATCAGGTGTGACATATTTGGGCACTTTGTCAAATTAAAAATCACGAGCCTTTAGCTAAGGCGAGTTTATTTTAAATTGTATGTTTTTTTTTCTTTCCTGGTAATAGTATTTCAGCTTTAAATATTTGCAAGCAATCTTTTAATGAGTAGGAGGGTTATTTATTGAGGGCTTTAATTGTGTTTTGGGTTTGGTTTCTCCCTTTTTTCTTTTTTCTCTCACTGCAGTAGGCAATTAATAAAAGACGTAGTGACTTTGTAGTCTCCCTCACTGTCATCTTCTGAAGAGCTTCTGCTCTATTTTTGACTACAAACCATGAACAGAAAAAAAATCATTTGTTTAAACATAACGACTCCCAGCTGTACATAATAGTAACCATGAAGTTCTCAGCTTTTCTTGAAAGCTCATACTGGTATTTAAATATAAAACTTGGGCTAATAGCTTCTAAAGAACATTCTATTCTTCAAGTTCACTGTAGGCTCGCAGTTGAGCAGATTTACTCCTGCATGGGTGCTGAATACAACAGCCACGTAAAACTGGGTAAATAAAGTGTTCACCAAACCTGTGCTTATACAGGAGAGTTTGATTATTCATAAATGCTGTCAATTATGTTTTTCAGGGTCTCATTTAAAAACAAAAAATATATGAAATATTCAATTTCCACATGAAAAGACTAGAGTTGTATAGGAACTAGGCACAGTTTTTATGTGGGGAGTAAATCGGAAACATTGTGGGAGTGTTTTTGCTGGATCAACTCAACGTAAGTCTAATTTCTCAGATTTTCAGGTAATGGTGTACTGAGAATGCTAGTAGAAATAGGGGTCTGAGAAGCAGTTGATGAATAAGAAGTAGGATAGAATAAAGGTCAAATGTGCAGCAGTGATTTCTGTGGAACCAGCTGGTTTTCTGGCCTGTGCAGGGGAAGGTGCTACCCCTGTGGCTTCCAGAGAGCCCAGTTGAGAGGTGAGAGCAGCTGCAGACAGTGGCCTACGTGGTTTAACAGAGGCCTCTGGTCACATCAAAATTTTGCACAATTTGTGTGCAAATTGTGTGCAAAGGTGTGCAAATTGTCCTTGATTTTTGTTTGCCATTTTTGAACTTCTTCCAGGGGGCTCTAGGGCCTCTTCTGCAGTCACAGGAGGTAGCTCCTCTCTCCTTTCTGCCCTACATGATGCCACGTAATTCTTGGCTGGTGTTTCCAGGGCTCCTCAGTTGCCCTTTTTTCTTCAAGATCCACCTGATGAGGTAGAATCTCTGATGGCTGCAACTTTGCTAAACCTGCTGAACTGTGGCAGAAAGCAGGGCTGGAATGCAAAATGGGGACGTGGAAGACATCCTCTGGGAAAACAGGAGCGTATCCAAACAAGCAAATGCAGAATGCTGCACTTAGCACCAGTAAACAGTTGAATAGAAAAGGTTCAAGTGGCAGAGAAGTCTTCAGAAAAAGCAACTAGGCATTGCCGTGGTTTGCAAGGTGGATGTGTTATGCTGCCATGGAAGAGGCAAAGCAGTGGTGGGACCTGCGGAGTTGGGCACTGCTGGAGATGGGAAATGATCCCTGTGCGCTGTGCCAGGCTGCAGACGTACAAGAGCAGTTTTGGAGCAGTGCACAAAAACCCATGTAGATATGAACACGTAGGCAGGGGAGAGCAGTAAGAAAGATGAGAAAGACACATGAGAGACTGCAATAATAAGGTCTGTTTATTCTGAAGCAGAGAGAAGTAATAAAATATCAAAAGATGAGCGGGAATAACCAGACTGTGATGGACAGAAGTGAAGCAGTGATTTATATTGAAAGGAGAAAGAGTCAAGTTAGGCATTAGAAGAAAACCTCTCCATTGGCAATGGGCAGCACTGGAATAGATTTTCTCAGAAAGCTATGAATTTCTTATTGGTAGCTTTTAAGAACAGTTTTGACAAACATCTGTCAGGAATGACATAGGTAAAGTGGATCTTGCCATTTTCTTGGCTGTACCGTGCTGTATGGCAGCTGTCTTTGGGCATATGTAATAATGTCAGGGTGATAAAAAGAGATTTGAAAAGTAGGGAATTGATTTCCCCCCCCCCCCCCCCTCTTTTTTCTTTAAGCAGAAACTTCATGTAACTGATGGTGTTTGACACCGTCACTTACATGGACCAAAGGTATCGGGATCTCTGACAGCATCTGCCGTGTTATAAACCAGTAAATGCTTTCCTGCATCATGGCCTCAGAAATGTAATATCTGCAATTGTCAATCAGCGTGAATCTGGAACTGGGCAGTTTGTCATTGGCTTTCAGATGAGATTTTTGATTAGGAATAGATAAAGAATTTTAAAAATTATCTTCTATTATCTTTCTACTACTTCTTTCATGTTCCTGAGGTGCAACCACGAGAGTTTGCTTACTTGCTTGCTCATATATAGTTTTTAATACTTGGACAGATTTACATTTCCCAAATCACTCACTCAAAACTCTAGTAGCAATGGTAATAAGGTAATAATGAGAATGTTGTCCTATGCTTAATACTTAAGGTACTTTATTCACATGGCCTTTTTTCAAGTATACAGCTGTGTTGTGACTGCTTTGCTTCATTGGTTCCCTGTATTTCCCAGGTTGAGACCTTTTACTAGAAAAAACAGTGGTATAATGGAAATCAAAATTGTTGTAGTGAAACATCTGAAGGGAAGTAGTGGAATTCATTAGGTTAATGGATGGGTAAGATCTATTAAAATTGCTTTCAATACGTAAAGATTCTTACTGCTGTTTCCCTGCCTTAGAGAAACACAACATGAGGAGGATGCCGTGTGTTTAGGCCCAAACATGTGAAGCAGGCTTTTAATGGGAAAGAAAACGTTCTCTGAAAACTAGGAAACTTGGCTGAGAAATAAATTGAGCCTCAAACAGTGATTGAAATCACCAAGTCGGTATACACAAGGCATCCAGAGACCTGTGAAGTCTGACAGAATCTCTCTTTATGAGGTGCCTTTCATGTCGTAGCAGGGCTCACAGAATTAAAGAAGGGGAAGAAGGCGCCGCTGTCAAGTGAAGCGGGTTTGAACACGGGGCTGCTTGCTCACGAAAGCCTGAAATTGTGCACAACTGCAGATAACGCGCCTGCAGCAGATAGCCGAAATAATACATTTCCCAAATTGGCTGCATTAAGCAATTACCGATACCGTGGTAGAAACCATGTAATTTTCTCCCTTCCTCGTAGTCTCAGCGCCGCGTCACGTTTCACCTCCCCGACGGCTCCCAGGAAAGCTGCAGCGACAGYGGCCTCGGCGAGGCGGAGGCGGGCGGCGGAGCCGGCGCCTCGCACCCGCTGCCCCTCGGCTGCCCGCGGGACGAGTACTACGAGCAGGCGTCGCCCAACAGCCGCACCGAGGGCGACGGCAACTCCGACCCCGAGTCCAGTAAGTGACGCTCGCTGGGCGCGTCGGTGCCGCGCGCGGCCGGGCCGCAATGGGGAGCTTGTTTTTAAGGCAGTGATGGAAGCAGGATGTTGCTTTTTCACATGGCAAAAAAACCCTTTTTCTGGACATCCAAAGGAATGAAGCGCTCTTGAGTTGTTGGTAAGAATTCTGGGCTGTGTGGTGTTTGTATGTATTTGCCTTACTGTTTGTACCTAAGCTCTCAGATAAGTTTGATGCTGTTGCCCTACTCTGTGCTGGATTTATCCAGAAGTTCCTCCTCCTGGAACAATACGTAGGTCTGCAAAGTCACTGGTTCTTCATAAATGAAGGGAGAGGTGGGGGCTGATTTGTCTTTTGAGGGCAGCTGTGATATGTAGTAACTGTCTCAGAAGAGCCTGTTCCTTAATTCTGCAGTTATCAGTGACTTCTTATGACACTGAAAACGGGCAAAATCTCATTGAACTTGAGACCACTTCAGACCTCTATTTACTGCTATTGCTTTCTCTGTCTTACTGTGGTAACCACAGTCTCTTCCTTAAAGAGTCTGCCTTACATAGACAACTATTACGTATCCATGGGCTGTTTGTATCTCGATTAAAATGAATGTCATGAGTAAGGAGACCTCTGACATGTTGCTAGTGGCCTAGAAAGAGAATTGCAAGCAAAGCTGTTCTGGCCTCAGCTTGGCCTGAAAGTTGTATTTCTGCTGCTTTTGCACATCGTGAAGAATGAGTTAGTAAGTCCTGTGYGCTGGGAGTAAGAGGAGAGGGACTAACCTCTCCTCTGCGAGAGGTGAGTTTTATCTCTGGGTCGAGCGGAGATTGCTGCCTCTGAGCCTGCTCTGACAAATTCATCTGGCTTTGGGAAGTCACCCTGTTGTCTTGGCCTGTGCTGCCAGAGGCTGGAGCATGAGGGGTCCATCCGTCTGGACGTGCTCCATGTGCTGCTTTCTTCAAAGGATAAATGGAGGTGCTCAGTCTGACATTCAAAACTGTGTTAAGTTGCATTGTGTGTGAAATACTGCCGTTATTTCAGAATGTCATTAGCTTTCTGACTGGGTAGCCTGTTGACAAGAACCAGTACAATTTTTCAGTACTCCATTGAAAATACAATCCATTGTTTTCTTCTATGTTTGTTTCTATATGAGAGGTTGCAATATGTCCTTAAGAATATTGTGGACAGTCAAGCCAAATTCCTCACAGAATGAGGCTCTTAAGGGTTATAAATGTAGTCAAAAAGAGAACAATTTTCAAATATGTTTTATATTTGCTGCTTTTTCTGAGCATACTCAYGATCTGAGCTTGCTTTTCAACTCCCTCCTCTTCCTCCTGTTCTTTATACTTCTGATATTTGTGCTTGACTGAAGTGTGAGCAGGATGTACATGCAACCACTATTTRGGTTGTCTTATGCAGAGGTCATGAAATAGTATCTGGAATTTGAGAAACTGTTAGAACAGGCAGGTGGATGCTTTCTTTCCATTTTAAAAGAGGCTTTTKAAACCCAGTTATTGGACTTGTCAGTGCTTTTTAAATCCCTTTTTTTTATACTTCCACAAGAAATATGGATCTGGAATGGTGTTCTAGAATGCTGACCTACAACTGGATATTATTGACACTTGTCTGTGTAGTCTCTTCACAGTGATAACTGATGTCTTTTGAGGTATGGAGTCTGAAGAAAATTTTAATTGCCTAATTATCTGACAGTTCAGTCTTAAACTTGAAATCACAGTATAATTAGTGTTTGTGTAGTGAGGTTTTTCCCTCTTCTAACATATATCTTATTGAAATAATCTAATTGATACAATGCAAAGTACATATTTACAGTGTGAAAAAAAACATAGTTTGCTCTTCTTTTATGTGTTTTATGCTTATATTGATGATAGTAACTAGTGGCACAAAAACAAGTGGGTACACATTGCTATTCCATTTGTGTTTTCATGCCGTTAAGTAAAAGAGGAAGGGAAGCAGTGTGTGTTTAGTCACTGCTGAACAGTGATTTGGTGTAGGGAAGCTGAAAGAAACTAGTCTATCTTTCATGCCGATCCATGAACGTTTTCAGCGTGACCTTAAGGGCAAATTAAAACAATGGGGAAACAGTGAAAATCCATGCTGAACTGATGATTTTGTCTACAAACGTGGTGTGTTTTTTGTTCTTTRTTTGTTTTGGGGTGGCATGATGTATTAAAAATGTTTCTGTTTCTTGGACTGAAATGTGAAATGAAGGAGTGAAAGGATCATACAGTGAGATAATGAGAAGACATCTGAATTCATACAACAGGTTAAGCAGAGACTTTATTCCATCTCAACATCTTTGATATCTGACCCATCTTAATCAGAAACACTGTCTGAAACGTTTAGCTGGTCAATCAGCTGCTGGTGATTTGGCAAAACTTTGCCAGCAGAACAGATAATGTGGAATGAAACAATTCCAATGATTCCTAATGTGACATTAAATGGCTTATTGATGTTGGTGACAAATGCTGTGTCACACAGGGATATACTCGCACATGTCTTGTCCAGCTTGTTTTCCTTGAATGGAGTTCATTGGTTTTATTTTTTTTTCCTCTAATATCAGAAGTGTTTTATTTTGGAAACATCTATTTATTAGCAGTAGCAAAGCAATTATTACAACACAACAATAAAAACCTATCTTGGTAAAACTGAAATGTTAAAAGCTAAAAAAATACTGGTAAGAGGAAGCATTACAAATTCACAGCCAGGCAGGACTGAAGCAAAGAGAAAGAATTATTGCAAGAATAAAGTGGTTAGAAAACTATGAGCAATTTTTAAGATCACCTTTAAAACTAATTGACTGTACTAATGAAAGTTAGAAAGAGACCATTTAAAATGATTTGTCTTTTCTTAATTTAGTTGCCACCTCAGAAAAGCATTTTGCAGTACCATGCAGTGTTGTAGATGCATCATAAGGAACAGATGCCAATAAAACTCTGTCATGCTAAGTCAGGAGTAATGTAAACTTGCGTGTAGATTTGTGGAGAAAGTTATCCTCAAGYAAAAGCACTAATCTACATGGTATTTTTAAAAAAATACCAGCTTATTCGATGAGCAATCTCTTTCATTTTAGCTGATAAATTCCTCAAAGTAGTAAAGATGGTGCAAAAACCCCTAGTTCTCTTTGACTTCTGCACCATTTRCGGTGAATGCGGCCGCAAGGGTGAAACTTAACAATGCCGGAGAACGTATTTAAAATCCATCAAATAAGGAAAAAGTGCTAATGCAGTATTACGGGTTTATGGTGTAAAAAGCCAGGAAATGGAAAAGTTTTAAATGTCTAAAGCAAATTGAAGCGGCATCATTTGTAGGTGTGTGTTTTTTTTTTTTTTTTTTTTTTTTTTTTTTTTTTTTTTTTTCTTAAGAAAAGACAGTAGGATGCTCCATACATTACAGGAAAACACATTTTAGATGCTAAGGAGAAATGTCAGGAGCAATCAGAGCTGATTTTGTCCTGTGTGCCCAGCTGATGGGGAGGTGGTTTATGGGGAAAACTTTATCCTATTAAATACCACTAATATGAAAATATAATGTACGAATAGAAACAGGCAGAAATAAGAGGCAATATACACGTGTGAATCCTAAATGCTTGAAATTGTTGCTTAAGTAATGCTCTCACTTAAGTGCTCTTGCTTTCCTCTGTCTCGTGGAGTTTTGGGGTGCTGATGCTTTTACTGGAGATAAAAGTTTAGCTCTCTAAAAAGCTGCAAGTTAACAGGATAATCACAGGGTTTGGAATAGGGGGGAACTTGCACCTGAAGGGGAGGAGGTGCTTTGCGAGGATATTTATTATGAATTAAGATCTTGCAAGTAAGTCAGAAGAGGTTGATAAATTGAGAAAGTTACCTTGCAAATTGGAAGATGCAGAGCTAAGGAAAGGATGCCCAAAGGGGCAGCTGCTTTGCACTGCATCTTGGTGGTCTCTCTAAGCTGGTGTTTCCAGATGGCTGCTTGTTTGCATCTCCCAGTTGCGCCTTCTTCTGTGGCAGCACAAGCGCTTGTAGAGTTATTGGGTGAACTGGATGGAAGAATTAGTCTGGTTTCAACCTAGCCTAGGGGGGGAAAAACTTATTTTTAAGCAGATCAGTTCCCCTGTTACGTCTTTGCATGAGGCAGTGCAGCTGTGCAATGAAGAATTGTAAATGAATAGCTGGGGCAAAGCTTAGGCTGGCTTTAAGTGATCAGCAGAGTTGCAGACAATTAGCCTTAAAAAGGAATTAAGACAGTAATCCCTGGTTATTAAGCTACATAGGAGGGAGGTTTGCCACTATGAAAACAGCTTTTCATGATTACAGATAATGTAGATTTCTACCACAAATTTAGAGAAACACTTTCACCTTGCCTAAGTTTTTGGTGCAAATGAAGTGGTTGTTGARAGCAAAAACAGGCCCGTGAAGCATGCTGAGAAAGGAACTACAAGTACGAGCAGGTTCAGTGTGTTCGGGAGGATCTTCATCTCAGCACCCCAAACTGATAGTGTTTCTTTTATTGCTCTGTGCTTCTAAGGGACCAGGTGTCAGGGCAGAAGTGCTTCTGAGCAACTAATGACACCTGGGACAGGCTTCACTCTTGTAAAACATTTTCAAGAAAGAAACTGAGATAAGCGTGTAGACAGCATCTGCAGGATTGGAGTAGGAGAAGACATGGACTAAAACAGGAATTGAAAAATGGTTAAATATCTAAGAGGGAGACAACTAGGAARAGGGGCCCCCCTATAGTGGGGGCTTTTAAGGATCTCTAGATGTACCTCCATGATTATCTTCCATATGGGTCARGCGAAAGCAGTGAGTGAGAAGTGTTGGTGCTGCTAACTCAAACCCAGGGTCACCCAGAAGATAGAGGAGATGTGTGTGGGGCCCAGGAATTGGGTTTTGCTAAGGATGTGGAGTAATAGGAGTGGGATGAAATCCAATAGTTGAAATCTAATAGCTGAAAGCYTTTCTCACAGGAACTGGTATGTGTAACTAGTACATAAATCACAGCTGAGAATGACAAA